TATATATATATATATATATATATATATATATATATATATATATATATAACTAACTTTAAAATTCTTCTCGGCTGAAGGTACACCATCCTGGTTACTAGAATTCTTATCAAATTGTTTTTTCTTATGAACAAGACTCTTTCGAGGGAACACTAGATCAATATTCATTTTAATCAAAAGTTTCTTAACATCATCAATCGTTTTAGAAAACCCTATTTTTTCTAAACTCCTTGAAGAACTCAATCAAGATAGTTATTTCTTTATTAGCAACATTGAGATCGATACATATCCTTTAATTGTAACTGTTTGTTGACCAAGTTTGTATTTGATACCAAATGACTATTGGTACTAAAAACACAAATTTACCAAGCTCATTATTTGCCAGCATTTTAGCTTCACCATGTATTTTAGCATCGTTTTTTTCATCAAAACTCATGTGTACATTAAATTTAAACTTATATATACGTTAATATATTTGGACCTTTTTATGACATAGATCATATATGGTAGTCCATATCGCACACCCTTTAGAGACGTGATAAAATATGTTATGTAATTTAAAGAAATTCTAGAAGCATTTATGTATTTCTTTTGAATTAACCCTACAAAAGATATAATTTAATAAGGATTGACAACCACATATTTTATAACCGGCCCACAACTTTACCACATCAAAACTGTATGTAAAAAACTATAATTTAATTTTGGACACTACTATAACGTGGAATGAGGCGAGAAGTGAGGTAGAATCAGCTACACCCACCCGTTGCGACCCCTATCCACGCCGTTGATATTTAATGGTACCAATTTTTTCAAAACCACCAATATACTTGAGAAATTCAAACTTTATTTCCATTTTAACATTAAATAAAATTTAACTAAGAAGACAAACTGCATTCTTCAGCGGTAGGGTCTAAATCAACACCTCCATCATCACCGTTGATCTGATCAAGAACCAGAACCAATCCCATTGCAAACGCACCATCGAAACCTGGTTTCAGTGTGAGCGAGAATACGTCCTTTCCAAGCATTACATTTGTCGAAGCATCCCCTTTGCGTCTAATCTCCGCCATTGTTTCCTTCGCCGAATCATATATCGTGCAGTTCCTCTGAGAGAAGCATCCTTCGATATGGTACTCCTCCGATCGATCGCCGAACATCTCCACCGTCATGTTTGACTTCCCGATGATCGAAGATCTCTTCACGCTGAATATCGGCTTATCACCTTCCATCCTCTCACCTATAAAACCCTCCCACCGTTGATGTAGACTTGGTCTCTGTCAATCAATAGGTTAGTGAAATCCTTGACATATGGAAAGTAAATCTAATCGGAGCAACAGCACACAATTAACATGTAACATACCTTCCGGCGAACGGTGAGGAGGCAACGACCGGAGGAATCCATGAGAACGAGTTCACCTGCGTCACGATTGTCTGGACCGTATGAGTCAACACGGAAGACGACTTGGCCGTTGGAATCGTAAACGGCGAAGCCATCGCCGGCGAAGAACAGAGAGGTTTTCATAACTGTCAGATGCGTTTCCTTTTCGTATACAAATCCTTTTTCAACGATAACCCTGCCGGTGTTCATTTCTTTGGAATCGCTGACTCTGGTGCGGAACATGACTTTTGGAGCTACAGATTCAAAAATTTGATATCTTTTCGTTGATTTGGACCACGTAAAATAAGGAAAATGGGGCTACAGTGGAGTAGAAGATGCAACCCAGAGAGAGAGAGAGAGAGAGAGAGAGAGAGAGAGAGGAACGTTGGTATTGAAACGGGAATATGAAAGATTGATATTTAAGCGACTTTCCGAATCTCACATACAAATGACGGTGTCAAAGTCGTAACACAGCTCACCCCACACCCGACACAGGGGACGCATAAGTGAGCTAAAAAAAAATTGAGATTTTTTAGACACGCTTTACGTGATTTTTCAATAATTTAAAAAAAAAAAAATTAGCAAGTCCACTTAAGTTGTTTATCTAATTTAGCAGGAAAAAAAAGATAATGATTTTTTAAATACTTTTAATTAAGGGATAAACCCGTGTGAAAATGTTTTGAAAAAGACATTAATTTAAATAATTATAATTAAGAAAAAAGTTTCCAATAATTTGCAACTTGCAGTTTTTCTTTTTTCTCATCACAGCATCACTCTACCCAAAACCTCATTAAGTCTCTCATTTTCTTCATATAGTTGCAACATAGAGAAATAGAGAAATGCAGTGTTTTACTGTAGAACACCCCTCAAACTGTTATATTTGTCCCCTCTTCTTCTCATGCCGAAGACTTTTTTTTTTTCTCAAATTGCAAATGCAATGATCTAGCTTCCTTTTTTCCATATCAATCGTATTGACTTTAGATATTTCTTCATCAAACTTCGTTGCATAAAGGGGTTTGTTGTTGTTGTTGTCTGCTGGTGAGGAAGACAAAGCGACCATGGATTGGAGAAAATTAGTTTTTTTTTTATTCGATGTAGGATTTGGATTAGAGATCTTAATATGTATAATAGAAAATATTGCTTAATTCCTGCAATATTAACTTTTTCATGAGTTTCCCCATAGAACTTGATAAAACTACAGATTTTTAACAAAATTAATTTAAATTTCTTTTAAAATAATGATTTCATTAAAAATCATTAAAACATTTTTTAATAACAATATAAACAACCAAAAAGTAACATCTAACATCACATTTAGTTGAAGAGGTCGACATCAGCTGAAGGATTTTTAAAAGTATGGGAATTCAAGTAAAGAAAAAGTAAGTAATTCATTATTATAGGGAATATATGCAATAATTCGATATTTTTAAAATATCATTGTTTGAAGATAAAAAATGTCATTAATTCCAAACATAAGTTCCAACGGATTTAATTACAAGCTGTCGTGAATTGATTTTCATGGAGATGGAGATAAAGTTTATCTAGAAGCGGAATTATAAAAAAATCTAAGAAATGAAAAACCTAATTGGAACATATGGGCTTGTGCTTAGTAGTGGTGTTAGGTTTAATTTGATTAATTGTTGTTATTGGTCAGATAAGAGATAAGACGCGAAACATTATTTCATTTCATGAACTATTCAGACAAGGTTTTAGATATTCATTTGATAATGAAGTTGGTTCTATTTCTGCTTATAATAATGATGTTTTTATGTTTAAAGCTTTACCTTGTAATGGCGTGTATGAAACTGTGACTTGTGTTGATAACCTATGTAATAATGTATTTCATATTGATTCGTCCAGTGGCATGGACAAAGCATGTTTGTGGCATTGTCGTCTTGTGCACATAAACAAGAAACGCATCGCCCAAATCCAAAAGGATGGAGTGTTGGAATCATTTGATCTTAGGATAGATGAATAATGCGAATCTTGTCTCTTGGACAAGATGAAAAAATCACTTTTCACTGGAAGATGTGAAAGAGGTGAAGGATTGTTGGACCTAATCCATACGGATGTGTGTGGCCCCATAACAGATGTTAATCGATACTACATGATATTTACAGATGATTATAGCAGATATGGTTATATATACTTAATCAAACATAAATATGAAACCTTTGAAAAGTTCAAAGAGTTTAAGCACGAGGTCGAAAATCAATTAGGCGGGAAGATAAAGATGCTCAAATTTGACAGAGGTGGTGAGTATCTTAGTATCGAGTTCCACAATTATCTCAAGGAATGTGGAATCGTTTAATAATTGAAACCTCCCAGAACACCACAAATCAATGGTGTAGCTGAGAGGCGTAATCGAACCTTACTAGATATGGTTCGTTCCATGATGAGTCAAGCTTCTCTTCTTATTCATTTATGGGGGTATGCCTTAGAGACAGCCATCCATATTGTGAATCTTCTTCCAACAAAGAAGGTTGCCAAAACACCTTATGATATGTGGACAGGGAAAGCTCCATCGCTCGCACATATCAAGGTATGGGGTTGTGAAGCACTCGTAAGACGAGATACGTATGAAAAACTTGAACCCAGAGTCGAGCAGTGTTATTTAATTGGCTACCCACAGAATTCCTTTGGATACTTGTTCTAAAGACCTAGTGAGAACATGGTATTCGTAGCTTGAAGAGGTGTCTTTCACGAGAGAGAGCTCATATTCAAAGATGACAATGGGAGTGCTATTGATCTTGAGGAAATTCAAGAATCATCCAACGAAAGAACCTCAGACAACACTAGCACTCAACGTGAGGAAGAGGTTCCAGTTGAGCCAATTGACAACTCATTACCCCTTCGTCGTTCCAGTAGGGTTAGCATGCCACTTGAATTCTATAGTTTCCATATTACTGCATATGGTGACATGTTTGTCAGTGATCGTACACTGGTAAATTTGGATGAACCTGCTAACCACAAGGAATCAATGGCAGGACCTGAGGCTGCTAAATGGAAGGAGGCAATGGACAGTGAGATTCAGTCCATGTATGATAACCAGGTATGGAACTTGGTTGATCATGTGCCTGGTCAAAAGATAGTCGGTGCAAATGGATCTTCAAGAAGAAGACTAACATGGATGGGAAGGTACACACCTATAAAACTAGGCTAGTTGGAAAGGGCTTTACTCAAACCCAAGGGATTGACTATGATGAGACCTTTTCACCAGTAGCTAAGGTAAAGTCTATCAGGATTATGCTTGCTATAGCTGCATTTCATGATTATGAAATTTGGCAGATGGATGTTGAAACCTCTTTCCTTAATGAGAAACTATCTGAGATCGTCTACATGAGTCAGCTAGAGGGTTTTGTACATACCAAGTGTTTTGGTTAAAAATTACACAAGTTTCAATCAACTAAATTGAATGAGAGGTTGTGATATTCGAATTGTGCAATAGAAAAAGGTAAAGAGAATGAAACGATTGTTTACAACGAAATCCCTTGATCCTTGCTAGGATCTCCGACATAAAACCTTGGGAGGTGATAATGATCGCCTGCCTTGATGATTTTATCAATATAAAATGGTGATTACAGAGAGTATTTCAGTAAGAACAAGTGAAAAAATCCGTAGAGTAAGCTCGGAGTTAGCAGTATGTGTCGTGTGTGAGATACATGTGTCAATTTATAGTCTAAGCTAGCTAACAAGATGTTCGATATTATCGGGATCCTCTATGACCAGTTTTGTGAACGTTGTTTGACTTGGTATTCCGGGTCTTTAACATAGTTGAGACGAAACTTTGTTGAGAATAAGTCTTCTCTTGACTATTTTTGCACATGTGTTTGTTAAGAACGAAATATAACCGTTATAAATGTTAGTAAATAATAATAATGGTAATAGTCGGGATCCTGAGATAGTTGAGGATCATGAATATCTGATGAGGTTTGAGGATCCTGAATGCTTTGAGGATCCTGGCCCTAACAATTGCCCCCAAGTTATTCCTGAAAATATAGGAGTTAATTTCGAGAATATTAAAGGGATAACTTAAATTAAAGAGGTAAAAAGGAGAGAGAAAAGTAATTTTCAAGATTAACCCTTAACGACTAGGTAATTTTGAAATCCAACGGGTGGATAACTAGTCGTTAATGGTCAAATCAGCCTCAAATCCTCACTATAAATAGATGTGATAAGTTCCACAATTCTTTACTCGTCTCAATTTTCTTTTCTTTACTTGTTCTGCCTTTCGATTACCGGTGATTTATTAGAAGGTAATTATCTCTTTTTCTTCCACGTTTTTACTTCTTCCATCATGGTTAGAAAAACGGCCATTTCGCGCAAAAACATCTTAGCTCTCCCTGAAGATGACTTCACCGACCAAGGGATTCTCTCCTACGAGGAGACGTGTTCCTTCGGCTATGATGATGTTGAGTCTTTGAGACTCAATGGAGCCTTCCCTCCTAAAGCCATTTTTATGCCCTTCGACCCCTCATCCAACCTGACTTTGTTTCTCCTGCCTGGGTATGTTTCCACGAATACCCCTTCTCCCTGGGTTTGAAATTCCCTTTCCCTGGGATTGTCTCCGAATTCTTTAGGGTGACTGGGATCTCATATATTCAGGCCATGCTGATTGTTTGGAGGATCCTATACTGGATTGACCAAGTAAATCAGTCAAAAGGCCTTGATATAGGTCTTCCTAAACTGGCCTGCATGTATGATCTCACAACCTTTGGGAATTCTCACTTTCTCCTTAAAGTCAAAACCCACAGATCTCCTCTGGCCCTGAAAACCAAACATAATGACGGAGCTTGGAAATAAAAGTACCTTTTTGTGAAACGTGACTCTGTTCCTAGTGGGGATATCCTGTCGGATGCCTGGGTCAAGAAGGGTAGGATTCTTTTATATTAATATAAGGATCCTAGAATTCACATCTTCTTATTTTGTTTGCTTTTTTGCAGCTTTCAAAATCGAAGAGCTCGTCCCTGTTGCTGAGAGATATGAAGAGAAGATCGAGAAGTTCTTAGCCCTGTCTGAAGCTGAGAGATCCTTTCAATTTGATCAAGCCACTCTGCAAGAAAGCTCTTCTGCCACTGACCTCATGTCGACAGGCAAGGGTCCTTGATTCCTTTCGCTTGTGATGAAGGTTATTAATAGTTTTCCGTTATATATTTATATAGGATCCAAAGCCACTCGCTCCAGTGCTCGCTTCACACTCGCTGATCTTGACACAACCATGTCGAAGGATCATCTGATGGTGAAAAAGGAGAAGAGCTCATCTTCTCTTCCTCCAAAAAGATTGACCATTCACTTGATAGGGTAGACCCTGAGATCCCGGAAAAGGAAAACCGTTGAGTCTGCTGGTCTATCTTTGGAGAGCCTTAA